TGACAAAAATGGCATAAAACAAATAGATTTTTATAAGTGGGTCAAACATGACCCACTTATGGAAAAGTGTAGGGTCATACCACTCGTGCATCATAGGGTTAATGTAGTTACAAATAGATTACATGTTCCCAGGCAATAACAAGTCTTTTTATTTGCTCCAGGTTTAGCAGCTGTCAGAAGGGTAATATCATTTACAGGTTTTTTTTCTTGTGCCCGAAAATATAGTCAGCATTGAAAATTAAGATTAAATATGTGAGCTATGTGAATGAAAATAGCTGCGTAAGGTCTTGGGTGAAATTGCATCAGGTAGGGGTCTTCAAAAGGTTAATCTTTGGGAAAATGGGATAATCTGAGCTTAGGGTGATGTGGGTGCTTGATATCGATGCAGTCACATCCTATTCAACTGGACCATTTATTATGTTATTCTTGTTCAATGCCTTTCACGTATTTATTGTGATGTCATATGAAGGTTTGGTGTATCGAAAAAGCCTTGTAGGTAACACAGGCTGAACTGCAGGCAGAAAGCTCAATTTCACAGAGGAAACACAGAAATGCAGGGAGATCATGCAATAAAATGACAGCAGAAGTGCACTCGGTATCTTTACTCACCATTGGATTCGTGTATAAGTAATTAATGCTGTAAACAGTGATGGAAATGGGAGAGAGCATTTGTTGGATTGAAAAGAACAATACAATCATATAATTAGTTATAATCATATTAGTACTGTTTGCAGTGGTTGGAATTTGTGAATATATTAACATATATGAGGCAGTGAAGCTCAGTGTTGCAGTATGATTGCTATTCTAATGGCTTTGCAGGTGTTTTTACAAACAGCTGCACACAGCTTGGTGTTTGGCATTACTGTTGCACATTAAGCAAACAATAAGTACTTAAAAATCAAAATAACATAAGTGATAAATAATTATAAATTGTTAAAGCAGACTCATGGATTATACAGCTACTTATGTCACATGTTACAATGTATTATGCATTATACTTATGATACAGATCTGCTTAACCAGATGTACAGTTTAATAGTCATAAAGATCAGCCCTTAAAGACACACATCACAACCCTTGCCTGTGTTGTTTTGTATACCTGATTCATGTAATGAACCAAATTTTGCTATTGTCTTCCACTGTTTTGAAGTGAATGTCTGTAAGGGTTTGGCACAGTGGTCTCCAGCCTTTTTCATAATTACTTTTGCAAGAAAAATAATCTACGGAGCTACAGAGTCACAACAGTGTATTATACCACATTGGGGGGTGGCCATTGGAATTAAGCATACATTCAGTAATAAAGGTAATCTTACGAGTTAAACCAATCGCCTAATGAATAATTCAAAGTGAATGCTTGTTTCAGTGACATGCTGGCCTTAAAGCTTTTAGCCAGCTTTGAAGAGCAAGAATTAGCCTAATGAGAAAATGGGAGAGTGATTTTGATGAGAGAAAAAAAACTAAAAATCAAAAAAAGTTACAATGATCACTCAGAGGAACACACATTGATAACATTCTTCAGTAGGCTGAATAAAATTAAATGCTGTCAGAAACTTCAAATGGTACACCTTAGGCAACTACCCTATCACGTTATTTTAAAAGTCAAAGTTAAATATCTGTCTTCTAGAATTATAGGAATGGTTTCTTTCTTACATGCATAGAAAGTGAATGACGAAAAGCACCTTTCTTGTAATTACTGGGTTTGTGAGTAGAACTTTTAAAGCAAAAGCCTCAGAAAATAATAAACAATTAGTGTTGACCTTTCAGGTTTTAAATTTCAGGAATTCACAAAACATGCTTTTGGCTGTTTTTGCAATTATACAGGACACATTCTTTCTTGTTTTGTACCATGATATTTTCAGAAATAGATTGTTCTGAAGTCATTGCTAACAGTTCTCAGAGCAGCTGCCACTGGTAGATGATAAATGTTGTATACACAACGTTAAATAATGAAGTATGTCATAAACATAGATGCATGAATTCTGAAGTATATATTGAATTA